AAGCAACATTGAAATATGTTTGCCTATCAGATAGGCAAAGATGAAAAAAACTGATAATGTACACTGTTGGTGACAGGCATTCTTAAACTTCTGGTAGGAGCAGAAGTTGGTACATTTTTGCAGTGCCACTTGGTAGTATCAGTATTTTAAAATGCTGAACTTTATTTTTCTTTCTTTTTTTTTTAAAGATTTTAAAAATTTATTTGACAGAGATACAGTGAGAGAGGGAACACAAGCAGGGGGAGTGGGAGAGGGAGAAGCAGGCTTTCCATGGAGCAGGGAGCCCAATGCGGGGCTCGATCCCAGGACCCTGGGATCATGACCTGAGCCGAAGGCAGACGCTTAACGACTGAGCCACCCAGGCGTCCCATTAAAATGCTGAACTTTAGATCCCATAGTCCTACCCCTAGAATTATTTGTACAGAGGTACTCACTCTGGTGATTAAAGATCCATGCCCAGAATTGTTTACTACCTTTGTCTAAAATTGCATATATGCACTGGAAATTAACATAATGTTACATGTCCTGTTTCAAAAAATAAAGATAGTATATATAAGCAGCAATCCAAATGTCTATCAGTAGGATTATTGAACTATGGCATATGCTACCATTAATGGTTTTTATGTGCTGACCTAGAAGGATGTTGAAAATAGCCAGAGGAACAAGGAGTCTGCAAAGCTCAGCACAGTATGAGCCCAGTAAAGTGTGCGTTTGTTTGCACTTCATCTTTGTCCGGAAGGACTTGCACCTAACTTCTCACAGAGGCCCTCTCTTGGGTGAGATAAAGGGGACTCATTTTTTATTTTGTATTATTTGTTTTTCTTTAAATGAGAGTGCATCACTTTTGTGTTTAACACCCTCTCCAGGGGTGTTTCTTGGAAGGAATACAGCACACACTCTGGCAATCAATGGACAGATCCCCAGAGTCCATGTTTAGCAACCTTCAGTGTCGTGGGGAATGAAGGGTCATCCCACCTCCTAATCCCCGGGGTTAGGCTTAGTGGTGGTAGTTGTCTCTCAGCCCCCTTGGGACAGCTGCTGTGCTCTGCGTTGTGGTTTCAGATGTGGGCGGCCTGTGTAAGCCCGCCGTGGGAGGCTCACGTCACTGCTCACTGCAGTTATATCCTGAATCAGGCTCAGAGGCTTTGCTGCAAACACAGGGACGGTCACTTCCAGGTCTGGAGGGTTGGGGGCCCCTCGGACTTGCCATGGGGCCCAGCAGATGCATCTGGGAAGGTGAGTCTGGCCGTCAAGTCAGCCTGAGCTGGTGGCAGAGAGGGCAGACTGCCTGCCATCCCTGGGCCCCAGGAAGAGCCTGGGGATGAACCTTGGAAGCCGTTAGGGGCATCACCCTGGTCTTACCTCCTCCAGTGTCCTGGGCTTGGGTGTCTCCCAGAGACAGCATGTTGGCCATATTTGCTGAAGAATGACAGGCTGTTGCTTCCAGGCCTCAGTATTGCTGGGCAGAGGGAAGGGTACTGAGTTTGTTAGGCAGAGTTTTTCGGTGTGGAAGAGACTCTGCTTCCTCAGTAACTGAGCGGGGGCTCGTCCTGGGGCCAGATGGTCTGAGCTGTGGTGGCCCGGAGTGGAGGTGAGGTCCAGGTGGTGGGGCTGGCAAAACCCCTTCAAACTCCCATGTCCGTGGGGGCCCTTCACGCAGAAGAGGAGCCAGAGTCCGGGGATCCCCCCTTGGAGCTGTGCGCGGGCAGCAGGTGAGGGTGGGATCCCAGAAGGGAGGTCAGCTCAGCCAAGCAGAGGAAGGGGAGGTGAGGGTGTGTGCTCATGTAACGTCCCAGAGCCCTCTTCCCAGGGGTCTGGACCTTTAACCCTGTCTAGAGGCACGGTCAGCATCTGTAGGGGTGTTCAGGATGCATTTCTTTTCCTGTTGGGGCTAGGTGCAGGGGGCACAATGTAAACTGGACGGGTCTCACCCTGGAAGAGCCTGGTGTTAAGAGGTAGCGTAACAGTGGGCTTTGCTGACGTGGCTGCAAAGGGGCTGTGAGGGGGTTTCTGGGCAGAGGAGGTCAGTTAACAGGTGCGGGAAGAGCAGGTGCATCATTTTCCCCCCTTTTGCCCCCAGGCCCCTCAGAACCCTTATTCTAGACCTTTCCCAAAGCATTACCTGCTCCCCTGCTCCTTTCCTGAGCTGACTGGCCTCACTAGGGGGTGTCTGGTCTGGCCCCAGAGACACTGGGGGGCTCAGGAGGACTTCATGAAGGAAGAGGCATGTGATCCAGAAGGAAGTCAGGCAGAGGGGACAGTATGACGGGGATTAGACCCGCAGGGGACCCAAAATGAGTTCCATTGGACCCCCTCTGTCTGTGTCCCTCAGACCTCCATCCTCAGCTCTCTTCTTCCTCCTGCCCTGGGACCCTCCCCCGTCCATGTCTTTGTCCACCTGAGGCGCGTCTGGGCCCAGCTTGTCCATCTCCATGGCCCCCAGACATGCGCCTTCCAGGTGCAGCCGCCCCTCCTGCTCACCCCTCTCAGGAAGCATGTGGAAGGTGCTCCCTGGGCCACCTCTCCCTCCCCTCAGCCTTCTCTGCACCTTGCCTGCCCTCACCCCACCCGGTCTTCTGCCTCCACCTCTCCTGCCCACCGTCCGCATCGCTGTAGGAAGCTCAGTCTTCCAGCCCTTTCTGCCATCAGTACTGGCGGTTCCCACCGGCACTAGAGTTGCCCACATGCACTTGTGTGGCCTAGAGCTGGGAGGGGGGACTCCTTCCACCTCCTGTCCCACTTTTTAGCACAATCCCCATGTCCTCATGTATCTGGTTCTTGGAATTTCTTCCTCCTTCCCCAGCGGAGAGAAGAAAGTGCTAGATAAGTGTGCACTGAAAGAGCAACCTCCATTCCTCTGGAGGGAATTTGATGGATATCACTCCCTTAAAAATAGAGTATGTGTAGGAGGGGACAGTAAGTGGATGCAGGAATTGGCGTGAAGCCAGCTTGGAGGGCGTGTTAACAAGGGCGCCCTGCTCTGGCAGGCAGTCCCCTGGCATCAGGTGAGTACTCAGGGTGTGAAGGCCGGGAGGGTGAGGGGCTGTGTCTGCAGGTCTGGCAGTGTGTGTGGGTTCTGATGCAGGGGTCCAGCTGCAAGGCCCTAGTGGTCAGACCTCATGGCCGGACCTTGACCCTGAGATCATGGAGGAGATGGGTCCTGAGATGGGCTGAAGGCAGTGTCCACAGACCTGAGGGGGGGGGCGGTGCTGGGTGGTGGTGTTAGTCATGCTCCCCAGCAGGACTGTCCCAAGGGGGAGACACTGGCTTCGGTCCTCCTGCTCTGACAGCCATCCTGCAAGATTGTCTGGTGTTGTCTGAGCTGTGATTAGGTCTCCCTGGTGTCATCCCAGGGCCTGTTCCAGGACCAGGGGTATGGGGATGAGGGTTTCTACACCGCCCGGCCTAGTGTCTGTTGTCAAGGATGTGGGTAGCCCCGAGGAAAGACAGACCAGTGGTGCCCTGGGCAAGGTGGGTGCTCCTGGGCTTGTGTGGCAACTGGTTGGACATGTGCCAAGAACAGAGGTACCAGGTGCCGGTGTCGGGCAAGCTGCTGCTGCCCCTGGCCTTGGCTTCCACACCTGGGGGGTGGGGTGGCAGCCCGCCCTGCCCAGCTCACTTTGCAGACGCAGAAGTGTTCTCTGTGGAAAGAGTTCTCAGAGGAGAAGCGGCCCTGTGTCAGTCTCTGCTGCTCACCCAGAAGGGGTCCTGGCCCTGGTAGCTCTCGGTCGTCCCTGCCCTGGGGCCTGCTGAGCTTGGTGGGTCTCCTGGTGGGCTCTGGACTCTGAGCCAGCTATGTGTGTGAGTCGGCCTAGAAGGCTCCTCTCTGGGATGGGCATCCTCTGCCAGCACAGAACCCCGGTCGCTGGGCCCGATGCTCTCGAACCATCCGCTCCTGGGCTGTGGCAGGGCTGGCCCAGTTCTGCAGAGACAGAGGGGTCCCTCCACCCGGGGCCTGGGTCCGCTCTCAGCCGGGGAGTGGCTGCCGTGCCTCAGGCCCCCCAGATCTCGGTGCTCACTCTGCTTCTGTCATCATACACGCTGACCGTGGGCTGATGTCAGGCTGCTTTGTCATCTCCACCCAATCACTGTGCGGGAAGGGGCAGATGCTGTTGGGGTAAACTTGCTGCAGTCTCCCGTGCTGTGGCTGGTGGTGCCAGATGACGAGGGTGCAGTCTTCCTGAGCCTGGATCTTAATGGGGGTCTGTCCTGTGGGTGCACGGATAGGCTGCTGGGCGTTGGGGTGCTGTCTGCTGCCTGAGTGTGTGCGCGCTCCTTGAGGGCTTACGTGCTGTGGTCTGTGAGCACATCTGCTGCTTTTTTGCCTCCTTATCACCCATCAGGCTTGCATAACCAGGCTGGCCCTGCTTCCTGCTTAGGAACTATCAGCGCACCATCTGGAGCTACAAATGGGGTGATAGGACATCAACAGCCTCCCCGCACCCAGGCACTTCCTAACACCCAGCCCCTTGGTCTCCAGCTAACCTCCGGTCCCCCCAAGGGGTCCTGTTGCTCAGGCTGGCACTCCAGCACCGTAAGCCTTGCTCCCCTGAGGTGCTCCCGCTCCCGGGGCAGGTGGCTCAGAACAAGGGTGCGGCCGACAGAGCTTAGGGAGTGCTGTCTGTTGCATGGACACCCCTCCGCCGTCCTCCTCCGTAGTCCTGAGTCAGAACACTGGAACGGGTCTCTATTTAAGGATACAGCAGGGAGAGAGGATGTGTAGATGTTGGCCGTGTGACCTTGGGCAAGGCGTTTGCCCTCCTTGGGACTCAGCTTGCTTGTCTGTAATTGGGACCGTCTCCCCACCTCACGGGCTGCTGTGGGAATGCAAGCGTATGATGCGTGCTACACAGTCAGCACAAGGTTCCCGTGACCCTGCCTCCCTGTGTGACAGGACCTGGGCCCAGCAACCGGGGTTCTGTGCTGGCAGAGGATGCCCATCCCAGAGAGGAGCCTTCTAGGCCGACTCACACACATAGCAGGCTCAGAGTCCAGAGCCCACCAGGAGATCTGTTGTTCAGGGCACCATGCTATACACTGTAGCCATATGGATCTTTCAGAGCTTCAGTTTCTTAGGAGTACAGCTCAGGCCGTGGTGCTCAATCCCTGAGATGGGACATGGGGAGGGTATAGGTGGTGACCTGCTCAGAGCTCTCAATGAGGAGCATGCCCCACAGGGAGCAGCCCTCCTGGGTAGGATCTCATGGGGAGCATGCCCCATAGGGAGCAGCCCTCCTGGGGAGGGTCTCATGGGAAGCATCTCATGGGGAGCATGTCCCACAGGGAGCAGCTCTCATGGGGAGGATCTTATGGGGAGCATGCCCCACAGGGAGCAGCCCTCCTGGGGAGCATCTCATGGGGAGCATGTCCCACAGGGAGCAGCCCTCCGGGAGGATCTCATGGGGAGCATCTCATGGGGAGCATGCCCCACAGGGAGCAGCCTTCCTGGGGAGGATCTAATGGAGAGCATCTCATGGGGAGCATGTCCCACAGAGAGCAGCCCTCCTGGGGAGGATCCCATGGGGAGCATCTCATGGGGAGCATGTCCCACAGGGAGTAGCTCTCCTGGGGAGGATCTCATGGGGAGGATCTAATGGAGAGCATCTCATGGGGAGCATGCCCCACAGGGAGCAGCCCTCCTGGGGAGGATCTAATGGAGAGCATCTCATGGGGAGCATATCCCACAGAGAGCAGCCCTCCTGGGGAGGATCTCATGGGGAGCATCTCATGGGGAGCACGTCCCACAGGGAGTAGCTCTCCTGGGGAGGATCTCATGGGGAGCATCTCATGGGGAGCATGCCCCACAGGGAGCAGCCCTCCTGGGGAGGATCTCATGGGGAGCATGCCCCCAGGGAGCGGCCCTCCTGGGGAGGATCTCATGGGGAGCATGCCCCACAGGGAGCAGCCCTCCTGGGGAGGATCTCATGGGGGGTGCCCTCAGCCCAGTCCCTTGCAGGATGGACCTTGGAGAGTGAGGCCCTGATGCGAGAGTTGAGCACTTGGCTCCTGATCTGCACCTGCTTCGGCACTTGGGTCGGCTTGGGAGACTCCGTCCAAGGAGAAGGAGGAGGTGAGGGCTGGGCAGTAGTGTCTTGTGAGGTGGGTTGGTGGAGAGCTTGGGGGGCAGGGCTGTCATCTGTCTCACTCCACAGGGAAGGGTTTGGCTGGAACCGTGCTGGGGCCTGTTCTCCAGGGACCAGCCTGGACTTCATTCCCACCCATGCCTCATGGGTCAGAGCCCATCAGCTCCCAGCCCTGCCCTTGATGCCTTCTGCTGGGATCATTCTTGGGGGACTGCCCTGTCAGAGTGTCAGCTGCAGGTCCTAATCCTGCCCTGAAGCAGCCACTGTGGGCTCCACACCCTCACTGTTCCCAGGGCTCGGGGCTGGATCTTTCACCTGCCTCAGCAACAACATCTTAAGGATTGACTGCCACTGGTCTGCCCCAGAGCTGGGTCAGGGCCCCAGTCCCTGGCTTCTCTTCACCAGGTAAGGTTGGAGGGCCAGGCTTCAGGAGGACCATGAGGGTGGGAGCCCCACGGGAGCAGCAGCAAGGGCCGGGCTGGTGCGGTGGCCCCTTGGTGCCGACTTACACCCTTTCCAGCAACCACGCGCTGGGCAGCGAGCATAGATGTGTCTTCCGGGCCGGTGAGTGCACCGTGGTGCTGCCACCCGAGGAGGTGCTCGTGCCTTCCGACAACTTCACCATCACTTTCCACCGTTACGTCTCTGGGAGGGAGCAGGTCAGCCTGGTGGACCCACAGTACCTGCCCCGGAGACATGGTGAGGCCTGGTCTGGGTGCCTTGACGGGAACATCCTGGCTTCATGGGGATTGGGGGGCAAGGTCCCATTGCCCTTAACCTCCACGGCCCGGTGAAAGTTCTGTGTCCCGACTAAGAGAGACCCCAGGGCTGGGAGCAGCCTGGGCCCCTGGGAGGGGAGGGCCCACTGCTGGCTGGAGAGATGGGGTTGAAATGCACTTTAGTCACAGCAGGAAGGACTCCAGTAAGACACTGGGGAGCATTTCCAGCAGGAGCTTATGAAGGAAGAGACAGGCAAGATTTGAAAATCACCCTGTCTGGCTGCAGGGGCTCTTGTCCCACCCGGGGCCTCACTGGGAGACAGAGACCTGCCCGCTAGTGAGGCCCCCGGCACCCTTCAGACCCCGCAGTCCTGGGCATGCTGACAGCCACAGCCACATGTCCCCTCACTCTGTTTCAGTGAAGTTGGACCCTCCCTCTGACTTACGGAGCAACGTCAGCTCTGACTACTGTGTCCTGACCTGGAGCGTCAGTCCTGCCTTAGAGCCCCTGACCTCCCTCCTCAGCTACGAGCTGGCCTTCAAGAAGCAGGAAGAGGCCTGGGAGGTAGAGCTGGCTGGCTACTCCAGGGGCCTCCCTCCTGGGAGCGGCAGCTCGGGGCCACCCGCCCCCCGCACTTAGGAGGGCGTCAACTTGGACTAATGAGGAGGGGGGTGATCAGAGCTAGGAGCGTGACTGCACACGTGTGTTTGTATGTGAGGTGAGTGTGCATAGGCTGTGCCTATGTATAGGGGTGGGAGTGTAGTGAGCCTGTTCGTGCACGTGCGTCAGTATGCACGGGGGTCGGGAGTGTGTGTGCCTACGGGCCTGCGTGGCGTGCATGGGTGCATGTGCCCACGTGCCTGGGCGCGGTCGTGTGTACGTGTGCCTGTGTGTTCTTGAGGGCCGATGGCCCTGTCCCACCCTCCGCACCTGCTAACTGTCCTCTACCCCACAGCAGGCCCGGCACAGGGCTCACATTGCCGGGGTGACCTGGCTCACCCTCGAAGGTGCCGAGCTGGACCCCGGTTCCAGCTATGAGGCCCGCCTGCGGGTCCAGATGGCCACCCCGGAGGATGAAACGGTGGAGGAGCAGTGCTATGCGGGCCAGTGGAGCGAATGGAGCCAGCCTGTGTGCTTCCCCTCTCCCCAGAGCCCTGCCCGAGGTGGGGGTCTCCCTCCCAGAGGGCCTCTGCTCCCTCGTGCGTCATAGTGTCCCCCCTTCCACCCTCCCAGAGCCCCCTCCCTGAGGCGGTCCTGCCCTGGATGACCACTCTCCCCTGGAGATCTGAGATTTTTAAGGAGGAAACAAACACCTGCCAAGCGTTGGGCTTCTTGGAACCTGTAGCTACTGTCTGTCCCTGGGAGTGAGTGTGGCCCAGGGTGGCACACCGGGCCTCTGCTTCCGTCTCTGGAGCCTGGACATGGTCTCACCTTCCTCGGGAGGGCTGGGCTGACCCTTGTGACCTGCTAGGGAGGGTGACTGGCCCTGATGACCTTGCAGATGGAGGAGGTGAGGCCCAGGGTTGGGTGATTCATGAGCAGGCATGACACAACTCCTGTGGCCTATGAGAAAATTTCCACTGTGGCCCAGAGCACTCCTATGGGGGCTTTGCCGTGTGGATTTGAAGGAACGTCCTGGGGCCAGGGAGGCTCACAAGCCTGGCCCTTCCTGCCCACAGGCCCCCTGTTCTCACTTCGGGGGCAACCCAACAGCAGTGCCCTTGTTGCTATACCCGTCTTTCTGCTGCTGACCAGCCTGACCTACCTCGTGTTCAAGCTTTCACCCAGGTCAGTAGCCAAGGTGTGCGTGTGCGTGTGTGTGAATGTGTTACTGTGTGCACGTGTGCGTGTGTGGTAGGTGGGGCATCTTGGGCCAAACCAGCCATCCCTCCCCTCCATCTGGTCCTGGACGGAGTGGGGGTTTTTAAGCCTCTGCCCTGGACCTGTGGAGAGTTCCCCACTTGTCAGGTGTGTTGGGGGCAGTAGGGCCCCAAAGAGGCTCAGAGGGACCCAGATTCACTGGGGCGAAGTCACCCAAGGTCCTCATCTCCTGCCTCTGGAGGTGCTCTGTGGTTTGCTGATTTTTAAACGCCTCCTATGAAAACATAGTCCTGTGCTCAGGACCCTGGTGAACGCCCCAGAGTACAAAACAGACCCAGGGCCCATTTGGAGTAAATCACTCATGTCAGGTTATAGGAGGGGGCCCGTAGGAGACCAACCAGGTGTGGACTGGCAGCAGAAAGGGTGAGAGGAAGTTGGCCTAAGGGAGCGGGGTGGGTGGTGGGTGGGGGTGGGGGTGGGGGTGGTGAGGGCCGAGGGTGGGGGTGTTGGGGGGGTGTGGGTGTTGGGGGGTGTGGGTGTTGATGCTGGCCAGATGTGACCTGGGAGCAGAGGAAAGCTCTTTAAGCATGGGAAATGGTGTGCGACAAGATCTGCTTTGTATTTTGAGGATAGAGTTTGGGGGTACAGGGAGATGGGGAGGACCCACCGGGAGGCCAGTGGTGGTGGCCAGGGGGCGGCAATTTGGCTGGAGAGGGCAGGAGAAGCAGAGAGGGAGCAAAGTGGAGGGAGCCACCAGGCCTTAGGAAGAGAAGCTGAGGGGGCAGATGAGCTAGGACCGGTGATCTGCGAGGTGGGGACCTGGAGGGGCCGCTTCCTCCCCTGGGAAGCTGGTGAGGCTGATTTGGACCTGTTGTATTGGAGGCCTGGGCTACCTCCTTGTGGGAGGGCCCGTGGCTCTGTTGCTCAGGGAGGAGTCAGGTGGGATGAGGACACAACAGTCACCCTGTGGCCTTAAACCCACCATCACTACTTACCCCGGAAAGGACGCGTGTCTTGGTGTAAGTCTGTTGTACGGGGTCATTAGCCTGGGAGGCCACAGGGGCACGTGTTGGGTTTTGCCCCAAGAACAGGTTTGGACCCAATGAGAGGCCAGAGAGGCATCAGCACGGATGAGGCAGGGCGGCGGGAAGGGGGTGAAGCTCCCACGGGGGCCTCACGCCTCCTGGAGCTGGGCCCCCGAGGACCCCTCCTTGGGCGTGCAGAGGCCTCCAGCTGTCCTCTCTTGGCCTCAGGGTGAAGAGAAGCTTCTACCGCAACGTGCCCTCTCCAGGGGCCTTCTTCCAGTCCCTCTACAGTGTGCACAATGGGGACTTCCAGGTGCGTGCACAGCCCACGGCAGGGGTTGGGGGAGGGGCTGGGGTCGCCCACGTGTCTGGCCTGCCCAGGATGTGGGCTTCGGGTGAGAGTTGGGGGCTAGTATGGGGCCTTTGTCAGTGCTTTGAGCTTTTTTGGTATACGTAGTGGGTTTAAATTTACACACTGTGTCTCAAATGCATCAGAACAATTAGCTTTATTCTCTCTTGCGGGTTTCTTTTTGTCTTGGGGTAGCAGCCCCTGGGAGGTACATGGTCCTGTTTTAGTGCAAACTACCGCCCGTCCCGGCTTCTCCTCTGAAGACGTCTGTGGGGAGGGCCTGGTGCTCGTGCTGTCCCTGGGGCCCTCAGTGGTCTGTGGGCTCCTGCTCTGGGGGTCACTGGGGAGTGCCTGGCCCCTCCTGGTCCCCACGGGTAGCATGCTGGCACACCCCCCATCTCCCCCTTTGTGGGACATCAGACCCCTGCCCTTCCCACTGGCCTGGTGGCCCCTGCCCCTTGGGTGGGAGGGGGCGGGGAGAAGCTCCCCCAAGTGGTCCCGGGTTCCCCACTGTGGGCAGAGGATGGGATGATATGCTTCCTGGGGTCCTTCCCCATCCCCCTGCCTCCCCCTTGTGTCTCTCAAAAGGGAGCCCAGAAAAAAAATTTAAAAAGGGAGCCCAGGTTTCAAGATTGTTGTCCAAAAGTATAACTCAAAGCTTAAAGCTGAGCATTTTGTCCTTGGTGGAGGCCACCTCCTTCTCCCAGACAGGGGCCGTCACTGTCAAGACCCCTGAGGTGATCGTCCTGGAATGTGTCATCTGGGCTGCATGCAGTTGGGTCCTGCCTCACCCCTGCTGACCACCATCTGGCTCCGCTGGGCTCCCCAAAAACCTCCTCTGTAGACCCATGTCACCTGCCAGGCTACTTAGACCCCTCAGGTGGTGGGCTGTAGCCACGGGTCGGCTCTCAGGGATCAGGGCAGACAGAGGGTGAGGTATGTGTGGTCCATTTGGTGGGGGTTCCTGGTCCCACCTAGGAAATACTTTCCTTTGGGAGGTGGGGGCCTCCTGTGGCTCCACGGAGGGATCCAGGTCTGCTGCCCTCAGCCCAAAGGTGCTGTTCCCACAGCGTCTCCCCGTGTGTGTGTTGGGGGGAAGGGGGGTCCAGGAGAGGGTGCCCAGCGTCTGTAGCTCGTGGGAGTGCCTGGAGCAGCAACCAGGGCTTTTCTCTGTCCTCAGCACCTGTCACCACCTGTACCCTGTGTCAGGCTGCTGTGAGCACCAGGCAGGGAGGTGGAGGATTGCTGAGGGTCCTGAAGGGACTCGGGGTCCCGGGCTGAGGGTGGGCGGGCACATGGCAGGCAAGATAGAATGTTCCAAGCATAGTTGTTGCTTGGACTCTGGGTGAGGACGTCAGGAGACCTTTCTGGAGGAGGAGGGGAGGCTGCTTCCAGGGAGAGTCCCAAACAGGCTGCCTGAGCCCTTCCCCCTCCCCCCCGCCCCACGCTCTCTGTTGTAGACCTGGATAGGGGCCCACAGAACCGGTCTGCTGCCGAGCCAGGACTGTGTCGGTTCCCCACGAGGAGTCTTGGAGCCTGGTGTCCAGGAGGTCATTGCGTGGCTGACCTACGACCCGGCGGATCCCTGGCAGTCAGTGGCCCTGGAGGAAGAGGAGGAGGGCCCTGGCGCCGGCCTCCCTGAGGCGGTGCTGCTAGCTGGGCATGTGGAACAGAGAGGGCAGCCTCCTGCCTACCTGCCACAGGAGGACTGGGCCCCCTCAATCCCCAGCAGGCCAGCTTCCCCACAGCCAGAGGGCAGCAGTGGCGGCTACTGGGCCCTGGGCTGCTCTGGGGACTGCCACCCCTCCACCTTCCCAGGAAACACCCAGAGCTCGGGGCCCAGCCCGGCCTCGGCCTGTGGCCTTTCCTGTGACCAGCAGAATCTGGACGCCTGGTGAGGAAGTAGTCCTGGGGGGGTCGGTCACAGCGAGAGGCAAGACCCCGCTGCATGCGTCCCGTGAGGACCGCAGGGCCTTTTCTTCGCTCCTACTGGGTTTGACCTGGAACCCCGACTTGGGCCAGCTGCATAAAGTCCATTTTGTGGAAAATGGACTAAAGTTTCTCTGAGAATGGAGCCCCTGCACAGACATCCTGTCTGGATGTCAGGCAGGGCAGACGACCCCTCCTCCCTCCCCTCCCCTCAGCAGCCTGCTACCCAGCCCCCACTCCGGGCCCACCACTTCCCTCCCTGCCCTCTGGCTCCATCAAGGCCCCTCTGAGCAGGGGGTGTTAGCCCCACACCTGTTCTGCCCTCACCCCCTTAAAGGGCCAGCTTGCTCCAGCAGACACAGATGAGGTGGTGCTATGACCTCTTTCCGTGCCCTCCTGAGGTACCTCTCCTACTGAGATGACAAGAACTGGCTGCTGGACGGGAGAGGGGCCCAGAGGAGGTGCAGGGGGATGGGCTCTGTCTGCTCTTGGGCTTTCTGGGGTGGGAGGTGCTGATGTTGGAAAGGGAGGATCAAATGGAGGCCGGTCCCTCTCTGGGTGCCCAGATAGAGAGGGCATCTCCCTGTGGGGCTCTGGTGACCCCTGCGGTCTGCACAGAAAAAAGCACCTGTGGCCCCAGGCTCCCCAGGCAAAGGCCCCCTCTGCGTCAGACAGGCATCCCCTCCCCTCTGCGTGCCTGTGGAGCCCCCGGGGTTTTGTGGGGAGCCTCAGCGGAGCCAGATGGTGGTCAGCAGGGGTGAGGCAGGACCCAGAATGTATTTTTAGCAGGTAGAGAACGGGAAGGGTGTAGACAGAAATGAGGTGCAGACATCTTCAGTTCTAACCGAGGATAAAAAAAAATAGCGTGAATCCACTTCCTGGGGCCGACCCCTGGGGAGCCCCGGGCTGGGGTATTATAGCAGCATCTGTGTGGCTCCTGTGGGTTCCCAGGGAACCTAGGCCACCCGCATGTGACAAGTGGCCCCCACAGCGGGGACGCCTCTTCTGTGTGGCCAGAGACGTTGTTCCTGTGAGTCACACATTTTCTGTCTGTGGCACCCAGAGACCTGGCTTTGGGCCGGAGCGTGAGCCTGCAGCCCCTTGGAGGTTGTGTGATGGTAGGTGAGCCATGCCTGCCCCTTCAGGACGAGCAATACCTCCTTGTGTTGCTGTGAGTTCACCTGAGCAAGTCACCTGCACACCTCCGTGCCCAGGAAATGCTAGCGTCCCCCTTTTGAGATGAGACGACCCTTGGACACCGTGTGCCGAGATCCAGTGTGCAGCAGAGCAAGGTTTGAAGACCTTGGAATGAGGAAGTTGCTGAGCCCTGGGCACTGAAGGGGTCAGAGAGCAGGTGACTGGGAACTGAAATCCTGATGTGGCTGGTGTTTCGAGGAGTTGGGGGCATGGCGAGGCTGGAGCTCAAGTGTCCAAAATGTGGCTGGCTGGACTGTGGAGGGCCTGGAAGGTCAGACTGAGGGCTGTGAGGGAAGGGAACTCTCCTGGGCAAGGGAGGATGTGCAATGGTTTCTCTTTCTTTCTTTTTTTTTTTTTTTAATATTTTTTTATTTTTAAGTAATCTCTACACCCAGTGTTGGGCTTGAACCCACAGCCCCAAGATCAAGAATCCCATGCTCCACTGATTGAGCCAGCCCCTCTTTGTTTTTCAATGTGGTGAAATCCACATAATTTAACCATAACTCTTGAAGTGTATAATTCAGTGACATTTAGTACGTGCATAATATGGTCCAACCGTCCTCACTCCCAAAGGAAATCCCCTTCCTATTAAGCAGTCACTCCCCACTGGGCTCTCCATGTGACCTATCCTATATAGCCCCTTGCCTACCTCCTTTCTCTGTGGATTCACCGCTTCTGAACATTTTGTATAAATGCAGTCATACATATGTGACCTTCTGCACAGCCTTCTCCCTCAGCGTAGTGTTTCTGAGGTTCACCCACTTTGCAGTATCGGCACCCCAATCCTTATTGTGGCTAAATGTTATTCCATTGTGTGGATGGACCACATTTAGTTTATTCACCCTTCTGTTGGACATTTGGGTTGTTTCCACTTTTTCTCTGTTGTGAGAAATGCTGCTGGGAATATTCATGTAAAAGTTTTTGTTTCAATACCTGTTTTCTATATTTTTGTGTATATTCCTAGGAGTGGAATTGCTAGATCATATGGTAACTCCATGTTTAGAATTTTTGAACTGCCAAACTGTTCTCCACAGTGACTTCAACATTTTCTATCAGTAATGTACTCGCATTCTAATTTCTCCACATCCTTACCAACTATTGTTAGTGTCCTTTTTTTTTTAAATTTGTTTTGTTTTTTAAGTTTCTTTCTTTAAGTAATCTCTACACCCAAAGTGGGGCTTGAACTCACGACCCTGAGATCAAGAGTCCCATGCCTGGGTGCCTCGGTGGCGCAGTCGGTTAAGTGTCTGATCTTGGTTTTGGTGCAGGTCATGATCTTGGGGTCGTGCGATCGAGCGCCATGTCAGACTCCGCACTTGTCGTGGTCTGCTTGGGATTCTCTCTCCCTCTCCTTCTGCCCCTCCCACTTGTTCTCTCTTTCTCTCTAAAATAAGTAAATACATTAAAAGAAAAAAAAAGAGTCGTGCTCTTCTGACTGGCCCCTTAAATCGCCATTCTGACTGGTATAAAGTGGTACCTTAGTGTGATTTTGACTTGCATTTCCCTGATGGTTGGTGATGTTGAGCATCTTTTCATGTGCTACTCCTGTATCTTCTTTGGAGACAAGCCTGTTCTTAATTGGGTTGCTTGTCCTTGTATTGTTGAGTTGTAAGAGCTCTTTATATATTCTGGATACTAAACTCATAGCAGATATTCCATTCCCAAATATTTTCTTAAATTCTGCATGTTACTTGGTGTCCTACATAATAGATCACTGCCTAACCCAACCCCAACAAACACATGAAAAGATCCTTAGACATCAGGGAAATGAAAATGAAGACCACAATGAGATGCCACTTCACACCCATGAAAATGGCTGCTCTCTAAAAAATGGAAGCTAGTTTTATTCACTTAAAAATGGTGAAAATGGGGCGCCTGGGTGGCTCAGATGGTTAAGCATCTGCCTTCGGCTCAGGTCATGATCCCAGGGTCTTGGGATCGAGCCCTGCATCGGAGCCTGCTTCTCCCTCTCCCTCTACTGTTTCTCCTGCTTGTGCTCTCTCGCTCTCTCTGTCAAATAAGTAAATAAAATCTTTTTAAAAACTGGTGAAAATGGTAAATTTTATGTTATGTATATTTTACCATAATTTTAAAAATAAAAATTAACGAAAAGAAAATTTAATGTTATGTGTATGTTCTCACTCCCTCAAAACAATCTCCCTAAGAACTGGTCCTGAAATAGTGACACATGTGATGGAGGAAGACCCTTGTCCCCTAGAGTGAGAAGGACTTTTCTCATGGACACTGCTACTTCAGACCAGACTTATGCACACACACCTAGCAGATCTCCCCCAGCAGAAGCGACCACTTCCCCCTGGCCCATCAGCACCTCCTTTCAGCACCCTATTCTCCTGGTCAACTCACCCCACAAACCACTCTCAATCACTGCTCTTTACCATCTCTATAATTTTTCCTTCCCAAATGTCATACACATGGGATCGTACAGCATGTAGTTTATTCAGATTGTCTTCTGTCACTAATATGCATGTGAGACTCATCCATGTCTTGGCGTGGCTCGTAGATCATTCCTTTCTGTTAATGAATAGTGTTCCATTGCACACATGCATGGATCTCACTTGGTTATTCACTCACCTGTTGAAGGAGATCCTGATTTGTTGGAAAGTATTTGGCCATTTTGAAGAGAGATGCTGTACATAACTGCAGGCTGGTTTTTGCTTGGATATATGTTTTTAGAGCAGTTGTCTAAATACCCAGGAATGTGATTATTGCCTTACATGGTGAGACCATGTGTAGTTTTGGAAAGAACTGCTAAAGTGTCTTCCCAAATGGCCGCAGCATTATACATTCCACCAGCAATGAATGCAAGTTCCTGTTGCTATCGCTGTTTGTTTTTCTGAAGATATTCTCTAGATATGCAGTGCTAGCTCATCGTTTTAATTTGCTTTTCCCTCATGACACATGATGTGGAGCATTATTCTGTATGCTTATTTGTCATCTGTATATCTTATTTGGTGAGGTGTGTGTTCAGATCTTTACCCATATTTAATTGGGTTGTTGGTCCTCTTTTTCACTCTTGGAGTTTGTTTGTATATTTTGCACTGAAGTCCTTTTTTTAGATGTGTTTTCCAAACATTTTCTCCCCATCTGTGGCTTTTCTTTAGTGGATCTTTCACAGAGTAGATAGTTTACATTGTACTAAAGTAAAACATCACCATTTTTTTTCTTTCATTGACTGGCTTTGGTGTTTTAAAACTCGTCACCAAACCCAAGGTCATCTTTGTTTTATTTTTTATTTTAGTTTTTCTTTTATTTTTACGTAGGCTTCATGCCCAGCGTGGAGCCCAGCGACGGGCTTGAACTCACAGCCCTGAGATCGAGACCTGAGCTGAGATCAAGAGTCGGACACTTAACCGACTGAGCTGCCCAAGCGCCCCTCCCGAGGTTACGTAGAGCTATAATTTTCACAGCTTTGCATTAAAAAAATGTATGTGTGTGGACCATTTGGAGTAAATTTTTGTGTAATTTTAAGGTCTGTGTTCACAGCCCTTTTTTCTCCCTGTGTTTTCTCATTGTTCTATCACCATTTGTGCAACAGACTTCCCTTTCATTATTGGGGTGCTTGTCCCTCTGACAAAGTAGGTGACTCTGTTGGCACAGCTCATTTTTGTTCATTTGTCCCTTCAGCATGACCACATTCTCTTCATTATTGCAACTTTATGCTGTCTTTGTTTTTTTTAAAGGATTTTTAAAATTTATTTTTGTGAGAGATTGAGAGAGAGCGAACGAGCATGAGCAGGGGGAGTGGGAGAGGGAGAAGCAGGCTTCCCGCGGAGCAGGGAGCCCGATGCCGGACTTGATCCCAGGACCCGGGGGTCATGACCCCAGCTGAAGGCAGACGCTTCACCGACGGAGCCACCCAGGTGCCCTATGCTATGTCTTTGGATCCACATATGAGGTCTTGAGTCTTATGTCGGCTAGTCTTGGTTTAGAAATAGTTTGTCGATATCTTTGATGGGAATTTGGTTGGGATTCCATTGAATCTGTAGAGCAAGTTCGAAAAAATTGCCAGCTTAACAATATTGAGTGCATTGCTCCTGAACAAGGAATATCTTTGCATTTATCTATGTTTTTTTCATAATTGAAGTATTTTTATTTTATGTACAGTGAATTGGCATTAAGTGGGTATCTTGGATATCTGCAGTTGAGGCAGGTATCCTGGATGACCCATTCAAGGAAGTTCACGTAATCCAACTTACTGAAGCCAGTGCCCTTGGCGAACCGACAGAAACAAGGGCAGCACCTATTGAGGCCGTATTTCCGGATCAGACGGCGTGGATTTGAGCAGAGGTGGAAGAAGGGAACCCTGGCCAAATTTCCTCGGATGGCTCCATGCTGCTGGTGCCCCATCCTGCTCTCTCGGATGCACCGAGGCACAAGGCACATTTATTTATGTGTTGTTTGATTTCCTTCATCTGTGTTTTAATGTTTTGAGAATATTTTTATGTATATTGTTAGATTTATACTCAAGAACCTTAATTTTCGTATGTAATTTTTTTTTTCATTTCACATCCCAATTTGTCCTATACATCATTGCTGATCACCTCAGTCGATCTAGGCTGCTATCAAAATATCACAGACCAGGCGCCTGGGTGGCTCAGTTGGTTGGGCAACTGCCTTCGGCTCGGGTCATGATCCTGGAGCCCCGGGATCGAGTCCCACGTCGGGCTCCCTGCTCGGTGGGGAGTCTGCTTCTCCCTCTGACCCTCCTCCCTCTCATGCTCTCTGTCTCTCATTCTCTCTCTCTCAAATAAATAAATAAAATCTTAAAAAAAAAAAAATATCACAGACCAGTGGCTCATAAACAATAGAAAGTGATTTCTCACCGTTCTGGAGGGTGCATGTCTGAGATGAGGGGGTTTCTGATGGCAGACTTCTTGTTCTATCCTCACTTGGAGGGAAGGCCCTGGCACCCTAACCTGTTCTAACACCATCACATTTTTTTTTTTAAAGATTTTATTTATTTGAGAGAGAATGAGACAGAGAGAGCATGAGAGGGGGGAAGGTCAGAGGGAGAAGCAGGCTCCCCGCCGAGCAGGGAGCCCGATGCGGGACTCGATCCCAGGACTCCAGGATCATGACCTGAGCCGAAGGCAGTCGCCCAACCAACTGAGCCACCCAGGCGCCCAACACCATCACGTTTTTCATGAGGATTCCAACACATGGATTTGGGGGACCACAAACTTTCACACCATAGTCCTGATATCAATTGACTTTTGTACATTTACCTTCTAGTTTGCTCTTTGTCATCTTTACATTTTCTTACCAAGGGACAGGAACAGTGGGCTCTATTTCAGTTGGAATTTCCAAATTATGACACTAGATACTCAGAACTCTAAATTTCAGAGATTCCCCAGACCTTTCCTGAGCGGGTGAACTGGCCACAGCTAAACTGTGAGTGGGTAGTGTCCGCAGCTTCCAGACAATTTGGGGTTGTGAGGACAAAGTAGAGAGATGGTCCTCGGGGCACAGGAGGGAGATCCATGGCAGGTTCCCCAGAGATGTGTCATCCGAGGCGAGCCCAGAACCCTGGGTGTCCTACTTTCTCACACGTTTATTTTTACTTTCTCCTGTAGCATTTCAGCAGGATGTATCTTACAGAATTGTCCCTTCATCAGGGCTTTGGCCTTCATAACCATGCCATACCATAGTACTTTTCACAGATTCTGCTTCTTGGAGACGAGAAGCACCGAGAGCAACTGGCTGCAAGTGTGTGTGGGGCTGGAGCAGGTTCATGTGGGACCAGCGGCCAAGGCCACCCTGGGCTCCACTCGAGGTCCTCTCTGTTCTGGTGTTGACAGTTGGATGCATATTGAGAAGTAGGTGTGATAAAAATCCCAATGTTATTTAAGCTTAAATATATTAGTTATACCAAACCTGAATTTCTTAAAAATTAACTTTTCTGGTTTTAATGGAAGTAAACTCGTCAACCATTTTTTTTTCTTTTGTTGAGAAAGTCACAGTTTAATTGGCAGCACATTTGCGATGGTACATAAAATAATGTTTATTTTGGAATCACAGGAATCCTACATTAGATGAACTATATAAATATAGCAAGCTTTGATAGAACACTCAGGTGTTTACTATGAACCCATCTGTTTCTGGGGAGTTTTCCAATGGGAGATTTCTCTTTTTTTTAAAAAGATTTTATTTATTTATTTGAGACAGAGAATGAGAGAGAGAGCACGAGAGTGGGGAGGGTCAGAGGGAGAAGCAGACTCCCCGCCGAGCAGGGAGACCGATGTGGGACTCGATCCAGGGACTCCAGGATCATGACCTGAGCCGAAGGCAGTCGCCTAACCAACTGAGCCACCCAGGCGCCCCTGATGGGAGATTTCTAAGCCTTACTGTGACCTTTCATGCTCATTGGTCTGTTTCTATTTTCACTATATCAGGGTCCATTTTGCTAATGTGCATTTTTACTTGGAAATTACCCATTTCCTCTGCGCTTCCAGTGTTCTCTTATTTGATTTAAAAAATTTTTTAAACTTTTATTTTAAGTACAATTGGCAATGCAGGGCTTAAACTCACGAACCTCAGATCAAGACCTTAGCTGAGATCGAGTCAGACGCTTAACCAGTTGAGCCATCCAGGCGCCCCTCTCTTATTTGACTTTTAATGTCTATTCTGTTTCTCTTTTTTTTTCCAGAATTGTCACAGTTAATGAGCCAATATTGATATCTTATTATTCACTGAAGTTCATATTGTGTCCAGTTTCCCTCTGTTCTGCCTTTGGGGCTTTAGGGTCCCAAGTAGGGCATCACATGATCACAGGTGGTCATCACGTCTCTTCAGGCTCTTCTTGGCTCTGACAGTTTCTGAGATTTCCCTTGTTTCAGTGACCTTGACAGTGTTGAGGAGGAATGGTCAGATGTTTTGTGGATTTAGCCCCACTTCTGGGATGGGTGGTTGAGTGTCTCCATCAAGCATTTGGAATTCTTGTGCATTGTTTTCTACTCAGTACCAAAGAAAAAAAAATCTATGTAATAAGTTATTTTTACCAGTGTAAACACCTGGGTAGTTATTTTAGGCGTTGGTTTTATTCCAGCAGTAGGGTGTTTGGTTGATAAATTTATTCCTGCTGTGGCACTTTCTGTTGTCTCCTGTTTCCCTTGACCTAATTTCAACTTGGTGGATTTTCATCAGAAGAGTTACAATTAGGGTCGAGGGAAAATTCAAAATTATTCAAAGCAGCCTTTTACTGTTTAAAAGTTGAGCTTGACTTTCTAGTTTTACTAAAGGTATCATGGTATCTTTTTATTAAAAAATTTTTTAAAGATTTTATTTATTTATTTGAGAGAGAAAGAGAGATAGAAACAGCATGAGAGGGGAGAAGGTAAGAGGGAGAAGCAGGCTCCCTGCTGAGCCGGGAGCCCGATGTGGGACTCAATCCCAGGAGGCAGTTGCTTAACCAACTGAGCCACCCAGGTGCCCCTCATCTTGATATTTTGACATGCCGTATTTGCTCTGTAGTTTCTTTGGTGGTGGAGTCAGAAGGAGAGTCTTTGGGAATTCTGGATAGAGGCATGCTGGTGGTGATGAAGTTTTAGACTATAAGTGAGGTTCAATGGGGTGGAGTCCGGAGCTGACTCCTAAGAGAGAATTCTTGAGATGGCTTTGGTTCAAATAAGTGGTTTATTAAAGCACAGGGACAGGACCCGTGGGCAGAAAGAGCTGCTGCACCGGGGTTGTGGGGGGTGGCTGATTATATACTATGGGTTGGGAAAGGTAAGGAAAAGGGAGGTTTCAAAAGGATTTTTGTACGTTAAAGAAGACTCACAGGATACCAGAGGCCTTGCCATTGTCAAGTTAAGGTTGTTGACCCCTCTAGTAATGCATTAACATTAAGATCGTTGGGAACTTCCTGGAAGAATGTCCCACATGTCCCACCCAGGAGCGGGGGCTGGGGGGAGGTTGCAGGGTGGTGGCTTATGCTTTGTCTTCAGCCAGCCTTCTGTTCCCTCATCATTCCCCCCTGGACAATTCTGACCTTTTAATCCTTAAGGTTGTTGAAGGTGGAAGGTCTCATCTTCTGTAATGTCTTCCTGCTGAACAGGGGCGTAGAGATGTTCCTACCTATGGGTCAATATTGGTCAGTTGGGGAATGTTTAGAGGAGGTACAAAAGGGGGAGGCAGCTGAATCCAACACGGTCAACATATGTGAACCTCCTTGAGTAGAAAGGGTCATGTGTTAGCTGGAAGTTATGGCGGTGAAGGAGTCTTTTGACGCCAGGCACGGAGACACCAGAAATGACAACAAAATAAGGTTAATACTATAATGAGAAAGAGGAATCTGAAGAAAAGATCTTTGATAGTTGACCTTTGATAATTTTCTTCCAGTCCAGGAGTTTAAAGCAATCACTAAAGGAAAGAGATGCTTTAAAGCACCCAGAAGTCTTTTGTGGTAACCTGGACTGTACACAGTATTCTGTCTTTATACTAGCACAAGTTCCACCGTGTGCAGCAGTTACAACATCTAAGGCCATTCTGTTTTGTACAAGTGCTTTATGCATTTGAGTCATTTCAGGATTTAGTAGAGGAATACTGTTTTGGGTATCATTTAGGGCTTTGACCATGTGTCAGACAACATTCTCCAGTCTCAAAGAGGTAACAAGGATGGATGCTAGGTGGTTATACCAATGAGATACAGAACATGTCCACCATGGTTTTAGATTTTAAGGGTTAGCTGGGTCGGTAAAGGTTTTCATAATGCGTCCATGGTGAGGGAGGTTGGAGGGAAGACTGCCCCTCCAGGTCATCCCTTCCTTGAGCAGACAGACCTCTGGGACTGCTGAAAACCCAGTAACAGTTTTGAAAGACATGCCATGGATGAACTCAGGCTCTGAGAAATATAAAACAATATTGGCTTTTAAGTTCAGAGCTGTCAGCTCAGAGAGTGGGGAGAGGTTCCCCGAGGAAGACTGAGGGGATGGCAGGCCAGGATGAAAAGGGAGACGTGGTTCTCCTGATTGGGGACCTGCAACCCACATCCAGCACCGGGCATCAACCTCGCCTCACAGGGGATCTACAGAAGTGTCTATTGGGGGACTGACGGGGCCAGAGCTGCCTTTCGAGAAGGCTACCCTGGCATCGGGTTGCACAGGGCAGAGGAGGAGGGCTCAATGGAGGAGAGGCAATACCCTGGAGTCCATGGCGCAAAGGCAGAGGCTCAAGACCATGTAGATGATGAAAATAGGAGGTGGCAGCATGGGGGCCGGCCAGCACAAAAGTGCCATGTACAGTGCCCACAGCTACAGTGACCGGGAGCCTTCTGTGCCAGGCGTGGCTGACTTCAGTGGGCTCCAGAATAGTCCTGACCACAACCCTAGGAAGTGTGCACCACCACTGCCCTCCTCTCCCCAAGAAGCTGCTGGGAATCACAGTCAAAGACTCCAGTCAGTCTTCACGGAGCCCAATCAGTGGCTCACACTATACACTGTCCCCCCTGGTGGCGCTCCAGTGCGATCCTCGTGCTCGGCCAGAGACTGCTGTCTGCCTTTCTCCACACAGCTCAACAGACAGGAGGGTGTCCCTGTTTTCCACAGGATCTGATGAGACTGATCCACAGACCCTACTACCCCACCCACCGCCAACACTCAGTGGGTCACTCGGGACCTCAGCTATTGTCATGAAGCTCACCATGCCCTATTTCTGTCACTTCCAACAGAAAGCCTGAGTCTGATCCGGGGCCATGCCCTGATCCCACGTGGTACCTTTCTTTTAGAGAAGGCCACCCCTCCACTTCCTAGAAAATGTTTCTAATGAAGTA